GAGGGAGGGAGGGAGGGGGAGACAGTTGTTGCATTGTTTTCGCTGCCATCTGCATCCGTCATGGTCCTGTTTGTGAGAGTGGTTTTACAGTAGCCCGCAGTAGAGCCTCGTGACTGCCTCCTCTTCCTCGCGCGGTGCCCAGGGCATTTTCGGAAAAAGGAGACTGGACGCGAAATCACCTCAGCAGACGACTACTGCTTAGCAGATGTCACCGGCGCATGCGCGAGTCGTCAATAGCAACTCCCTCTCTCTCGCCCTCACCAGCGAACCAGGTACTGCCATAAAATGCTCCTACCTAGCCACCAACACTCGCTCAAAGGAGACGGTGGTAGTGATAACAGTTGACGTAGACGCCAGTCAAGACCCGAACATACCGATTCTGCTAGTTCTTCTTCTCCGCCTCGAAAATGATGGCAAATGCGTTCGCCTGGCTGATGTGCTGTTTCAGCCAGGAATACCAGGAGCAACAGCGACTCAGCAAGATGATTGATCGACAACTGCAGCGCGACAAACGCAGTATGCGGAATGAGTTGAAACTCCTGTTATTGGGTGCGTCAGCACATATTTTTTTTATTTTTCAATGTTTTGTCATTTGAAAGTATAACGGGGCGAAAGCGTTTAATTGGAAATTGCATTAAATGCAATAATAGTAAAAAAATAAACATAAAAACCGACGTTTTACAGGGATTTTTGGATGATTTTTGTTTTAAATCTCCTGCATAAAATAATGTAGCGGGAGCGGCAGGTTCAACAAACGAGCTGCGACAGGGAAAAGATAAAATCTAAATTACTGCTTTCCAATACACGCCACTAAGTTACCTTTAAAAGCGCCTAAATGTACTTTTAATAACTTATGATTCCCATCAATCAGTGAGAAGCAGTCGGAACAGCGTGGGGAAGGCGTCTAATCGGATTCCGTGTAGAATGGGCAGTAAATGCGATGACAGTTAAAATAACCATACAAAAAACCGACGCTATACAGGGGCTTTCGGATACTTGCTTTCCTTTCATATCTGCTGCATAAAATAATCTAGGGAGCAGAAGTTTCACCAAACGATAAAATCCTTCATCTAAATAACTTCCATTCAATACACGCATCCAGGTTATCTTTAAAAGGCCTAAATGCATATTTAAAAACTTATGACTCCCGTCAGTCAGTCAGTCAGTCAGTCAGAAGCAGTCGGGGCAGCGAGGGGAAATGTTTCAAACGCCTTTTAGAAATCATTTCTAAATTAATCGTAAACCACACTTTTTCCGTAAATACAGTAAGTGTTCCTTTGTTAGTTTCATAGACAGACCACCTCTGATAAACATAATATCCCCTAAGCCTGACACCCGTTTGTTTGACCATTGATTTCGATTATTTCCACCATGTGCACGAAACAGTTTGGAGCAGGGGAAAGTGTGACTGGGATCAGGGTTTAGATTTAAGTGATAGTAGACGTCGCAAGCGTCACCGCACTTAACACCTTCAGCCGGGGTCAGGAATATTTTAACGGTGAAAAACTGTGATGTCACTGTCTAATTACGTGCTTTGGAATCCTCAAGGAGTTACACAACAAGAAGGACGTAAAAGTGGAAGCCACCCGAATGAGAGTTTGTTGTGTACATAACCCGGACATGCTATTTCGGCTGGCAGTTGTGCCACTGGCGTTGTCCAGGGCTAAATGTGTGGGACGAAGACCGGGCCTGAGGTGGACTGGCTATGTTCATTTCATGTCGCAACTCAGTGTCGGAGAATTGAGTTCGCTTGAGGCATGATTCGGCGCGTTGGAATATGATCACCTGCCGTGTGGCGCACCCAAGTGGCCCTTGAGGAACTGCGACTAGTTGGGCACGCGCGTGTGCTCGCGTACGTGTGCGTACGTGTAATTGTGCGATCCGGTCCGGCGGTTTAGGGTCAAAACGTGGGGAAAGTCACAGCGAAGACACAAGACCTTGAGGCCGCTCTCATTGGACAATAAACCATTGTCAGCAGTTGGCCGAAGGCGTTCACCAGTGAAAGTATATGATCTTGAGGCAATCCGTACTGACAAAGGCGTCGTTGTAGGCAGTCGGCCACTCGTTCAGAGGAGACGGTGGCAGTGGTAACAGTTGACGTAGACGCCAGTTAAGACCCAACTCCATTCCGGAGGCTACCGAACACACACACACACACACAGATTCTGCTACTTCTTTTCATTGAAAATGATGGAAAATGCGTTCGCCTGGCTGATGTGCTGTTTCAGCCAGGAATACCAGGAGCAACAGCGACTCAGCAAGATGATTGATCGCCAACTGCAACTCGACAAACGCAGTGTGCGGAATGAGTTAAAACTTCTGCTCTTGGGCTCGTCAGCACACATTTCTTTATGAAGGCGGAGGAAACCGATTAATCGGATTGCAAGTGAAAAGTTCATTAAATGCGAGGACAGTTAAAATAAGCCTTAAAACCAGGGGCTTTCGGATAATTGGCTTCTTTTTATATTGCCTGCATCAAATAATCTACGGGGAGCAACAGTTTCGCTGAAAGAGCTGCGATAGAAGAAATAAACAAATAACTTCCCTCTAGTTCATGCCACTAACTTATCTGTAAAAGCGCCTAAGTGTACTTTTATAGCCTATGACTACTTTAGTAGTATGTTTTTTCTCCCGTTTATTTTCTGTGCGTTTGCGCTAGAAACAGACCGATGATAAGGGCCATGCTACCAGTATGGCTGCTACTATTTCTACATATTACTGCTGCTAAACTAGCGATGCAAATGCATGATGCTAGAACTGGTACTATTACTGACACAGTTCTTTTTAATTTTGCAATGTTCTGTCATTGAAAAGTATGAGGGGGAAAGTGTTTAATCGGACTCCATGCGGAAAGTGCACTAAATATGATAAGAGCGTTTAGGTTTAAGTGATAGTAGACGTCGCGGGCGTCACCTCTTGCGGGAGTCCATCGACAGTGATAAAAGCGACAAGAGAAAACCAAGCAACAGTTGTAAGGAGGCGGTGGCCAATCAACCACCAGTGACTTCAGCTCGCAGATGCCTGCGCAGGGTGATATATTCCGGCACCAGATCGATAAATTGATGGGCTAAGTTCTCATCAGAAGCGTAGGTAGTCAGGATAGCTGCTGTTCTCAATCCGCTGAAGAGGTATAATTGTGATTAACGTAAAACGATGAAAATATCTTCTTCCCCATCAGCTTAAAAGGTCCGTAATGTCCATGAATTCCCAGTCAATGAGGTAACTGGGAGACATCGCGAAGCACAGTTAGAGCGGCATTTGTGCTAGGTTTGGGGAAACAGAGGAGGTCGCAGAAATTCGGTTCAGATCGATTAATTCGGGCGAGATCCTGCTGATGCACGTCAATATCCCCGAACCGACTTGGTGATCTCGGTGCGCTAAATAACTGATTGACAATCGGTTTCGATGAATTCCACCATATGCTCCAGACAGGTTAGAGCAGAGGAGGGGTGACTGGAGTCAGGGCTTACATTTAAGTGATAGCAGGCGTCACCGCCCTTACCACCTTCCCCTGGGGTCAAGAGGTCTAAACGGGATCAGGCGATGGCCACCGCTTTGTCCAATGGCGACCAGAACACCGCGTGATTTAGTCTTAAGTGACAGTAGACTTTGCGCAGCTACTACCCCACTATGTGCCCTCACTCAATTTTGACCGCTGTCAAGACAGACACATGAATACCGATACTGCTACTAATACTGCTACTAAATACTGCTGTTGATAATACTACTATTTCTACTGCTACTACACTAACGATGCAACTCGATGATGATGATGATGATGATGATGATGATGATGATGATGTTGATGATGGTGATGATGATGATGATAATGATGATGAGTATGATGATGATGATGATGATGATGATGAGGAGGACATAATAATAATAATAATAATAATAATAATAATAATATGATGATGATGATGATGTACTAGGTCAGACAGTTCACTGATGCATGCGAGAAGGAAAAGGTAGGAAGGACCGATGATGATGATGATGATGATGATGATGATGATGATGATGTTGATGATGGTGATGATGATGATGATGATGATGATGATGATGATGATGATGATGATGATGATGATGATGAAAATGATGATGATGATGATGATGATGATGATGATGATGATGATGATGATGATGGCTGATGATGATGATGATGATGATGATGATGATGATGATGATGATGATGATGGAACGGGCACAATTACTGACGTTAATATTAGTCAGAGGTGGCGCTGATTTAAGTCAGCGCTGGGCTCATGCCCCCTCGATCTCAGCTAGGAGTGTGACCCGGGGTTTATGTTAGTCCGGATGGAGTACATGTTTGAGGTCCAGAACACATCGGAGTTTGCACTGATTTCCTTCCTCTCACCTCCATCCACTAAAAAACTGTGTCAGTTTCTCCCACAGTTTGGACTACGAGGACTGAAATACCACTGCTAGCGGTAATTGCCAGTATCAGGAGTGCCAATTCTAGTAATCGTGCTTACTACGATACAGTTAGACAATAGAACAGTCCAATACAGTGCGACTGGAATAATGCAATATTGGTGATACTAGTTATACTACTGATAGGGGTAATACTAACGATAATATTATGTATAGGGAACTGCTATCGTTTAAAGCTAGCCATTAAATAATTATGCTCGTAGGAAATCGGTTCTCACTATGCAGCTCCAAGCTTTATCGGAGCAAAAGAACAAATGTGTGGTTTTGCGAAATGTTTTTAAATAGTAGCCATAACCAGAAATAACATCAGAAGACGTCAGCGGGCGTACAGGGTATTCTGTATACGTGTAATGTGCTGTTGCTGCGAAACTACATAATCACTAAGCCTACCAACCCTTCCATTCACTGCAGACATTTTTACTTTGTGCCTTTGTGTATTTTGTGTCTGGTCGCCGCCGCATTCCCGCTCCTATGGGCGCAATTTCATCCCCGACGTTTCTTATAACCTTGTGTGAGCCCTTGCGTCGACACTTGTTTTATCCCCCAGTCCTATGTTAGGAAAGGAAGGCAGACAGGAGAGCAGATAATAGTTTACTATGACTGTTTCTGCTTGAACGTCAAATC